GTTAAGTGTCCAAGTGAGGTCCTCACTGATGTGCTCACAGATCCAAAGGAATTAATATTTACTATAATTTAGCCCATGTGTACATTGAAAGAGTTACTCTAGTAACTCTAATTGTTCCTTCCTAATGTGAATCCAGTGTGAGAGCTAGGAGACAAAATCTTTAACAGCCCGAGTTTGCCAACAGGATCTCTTTCAAAGATAGTCTTTTTTTTTTTTTTTTTAAGAAATTCCCTCTTTTGTGTTACTATCCCTGGAAACACTGTCTGGGCAAATACAAGAGGAATGTAACTTTGGAAGATACTGACTTGATTTGCATTTTTCAGACTGCTGAAACAGTAGTATTGTCAGCTGAACTTCAAGAGATTTTAGTCAGCATTTCTATAGCAGCACTGTATCAAATGACAATGTGAAAACAATGTGACAATGTAAAAATCACTCATAGTAATGAAACTGCAGAGAATTGTCACCTGAAGCTCCTTTGCATTGTTTAGCTCTCCAGCCCTCAGCTTTACTGTTTTGGTTCACTGTCCCTGCTCCTGTAATGTTGCTTCCAGTGACATACAGTGTGCATGATGGACATGGTGTCACCATTTGCCTCCACTATGCAAAAGTGAAGCCAAAATTTCATGAACATGGCGGCTACCATCTTGCTCTTTTGCAGCCAGATTCTGCGCAGTAGCGATCAGGAATGAAGTGACAGCATCGGGCCGGCAGTCAAAGCTGTCAAATCAACTGGAATACAACTCTTTTTATGTCATCAAATAACTTTTTAAAAACATATTTCCGGAAAAATGACCACTTGTACACACATCAGCATAATATCTACCAAAAACCACAGAAATCACCTCTGGGGAAAGTGTATCTGATTTGTACTTTGAGTTTTTAGTTTGGCTCATGTCCCATCCACTAAGTATTTCAATATAAACTTGGATAAATACCAACCTACCCTTTAAAAACAACCCATGTTTCTATTTTACTGACAAATAGAAATATGATGGCGGTGATTATTCACTGACACAGCACATGTTTATGTTCAGGAGTGTGATGTTGTAATAACTTCTACAACTTTGAACTTTTAAACATTATACATGCTAACATGTAATATATTTTACAAATGTTTTTAAATAAATGCATCATAATTTTTGGTTACTTAACATTTATGGAATGTCATCACAGAAGAGTTGCCAACTTCTAATGTCATTTCAATATTATCTCTTGATATTTGAACCATAGTTTTGTATATATATATATATATTCAACATGTAGTTCATGTGATCATGCATTTGGTTAATATTTAACTTCTTCATCTCTCGCTTCTCTTCCTTTTTCCTCCCTCCAGGGCCACCTTGTGCTTTTGGAGTGTGGCTCTCGACCACCATCTGCATTTCCACACTCCTCTGTTTGTCTGTTTGTGTATCTGTGAGTTGACAGGCAGAGGGAGGGAGACATGGAGGGCAGACACCGGTGGGGCGCAGGGATGGGGAAACACCACTGGGGAGCAGGACATGGGGGTGAGGGTGGGATGGGGGAAATGGGTCTTTTGCTGTAACATGATGTTTATTCTCGTGATGTATTTAACTGTAGAAGACAACAGAGGATTGTCTGTTTGGTTATACGAGAAACACTTGAATACAAATACCAAAACATTAGCTGATGAACATTTAAGAGAAATCTTGCAATGGAAAAGACTTACATTTATGAAAAAATTGTACTAATATTTAACTTGGGAGAATGTATTTGTCTGTGCTGTGTAAATAGCGACATGTTGATATATAGGACTATACGTATGTACACAGTTGAATAATTTTGCACTCCATATTAGTTGTTATACAACAAATGTTGAGCACAGAGTTATTCGGTCTATTTTGGTTCTGTTCAGAAGCTCATGTAGTTTAACCTTTGCCCTTCGATCCCCTTAAATTTCATATACTACATTGATGTTTTTATTTATTCCTGTCAGAATATATGAACATCTTTTATAATATTTTAAGAAACAGAATGAAGGCTGCTGAAAATGTGTTATAGAAAACAGAAGAGAATTATTGATGTAAACACTGAGTAGAAAAAGACTAATGTCTCGTAGGAGCAGTGAACACGTGATAACAGTGAGTTGTGTGTCAGTCTTTATATTCTTTTTTTTTTTCATCACCACTGTCGAGAAAATGATCTCTTGTACTGTAATACACAAAATATTTTAAATCCTGACATACACAGTAAAATAAAGTTGCATATGATATGGTTAAGCCAATTAGTGAGCGTGGGGGCATCTCATAGATGCTGTATGGGTTCAGAAACCGCTGTAGTGTGCTATCAGTATGAAAGTTTGGGCAGTGAACAACAGTTTTAGCAGCATTTTTTGTTTATTTGTTTGGATTTATGTAATGGCATCAAACAAATTTTGTCATCAGGTTTTCCATCGCCTTTTATGTGGTCCAGAAAGTTGCAAGACAGAGTTATATAGTTTTTTAACAGGTGTTTCTAACACATTGTAATCAGTGACACAGATATTCACCTTAATATGAACTGTAGGCAAATGAGAATTAAGTATACTACACTTTAAAGACCTTGGTTATGCTGTGGCAAACACGTAGTCATATTTACTCTCCTGCATCCTCACTCCTTTATCTCTTCTCGTTCTGAAGGCATGCAAATTTACTGCATGCATCTTATTCCTTATGTCCTAAAGCATTCCTAAACTTGTTTGAGAGACTGAAGCTTAAAGCTGCAGGAAAGTGTTAGATCACATACTCTGGTATGTTTGATCCAGCATCATGTTTACTGCACAGCACGTAGGCTGCAGCAGCTCTGCTCTATTCCACTCAAAACACAAAGAAAGTGCTGCAATAGCTTCTTTCTAGGTATAAATACACCTGTGTTACAGCCAATCCTCTGTTTGCAGATATGAGACTGTGTTTGCCAAATGGTAAGAGATGTGTCTTGGTGTGTGTAGTTTTGCTTCCAGATGTCCATCTCCAGTATATCGATCTATTACACAGACTTGGATTCACTCTTGTTTTTTAATCAGGGTTCTTTGATTCAGGCATTGTAGAAGTATCTGGCTTTCTCTCTTCCTCTAAAGTAGTTCCCAGACTTCTGTTGTTTCCCCTCTTTCTCTCGTTCACTGTAGCTCTTATAAATATGCTCAAATGAAATATACTCTGTTGTTAGTGGTGAATAATGTCTTGTGATACTCTCTACACCTTTGGATAGTGCTGTGTTTATTGTGTATGATGTATTCATATTAGTATCTATGATAAGTCAGAGAAAAAAGATATCCAAGACCCTCCAGAATTCTGATGTACTCTTAATATATGGGATCCATGTGAAACAAAATGAAATAAACTTCAAATTATTCTGTTGAAGGTTAAAATGAGTACTTCTGTTCATATGACTTGTCTTTTTTTGGTTTGCTTGATTGAACTGGGTTTACTAAAAGTATGTTTTTGAAATATTCACAATCAGTTTTATTAATATGATGTAACAGAAATGTACTTTATAAGTAAACACCATACAATAAAATGTGCTATAATCTACAGACAGCAGCTGAAATGGGCTCGGTCTATTTGATGATGGCACAGTTGTAAAGAAAGTTCTACAGTGGTACTGCTGTAGCTGGCCTGTGTTTGTGATGACACTGAAATAACTTTTCAGGCTGGCTGTGGGAAATTATCTTGGTTAGCTTTCTGCACAAAGATGTCTATAAGCTTAGTTCTTTCTTGGTAGGGACACAAGCTCTGTGCCACTGCACTAAAGGAAATCATCAACATACCAACATCAGCATCCTTCTCCTTAGGAATAAGCATCAGTCCTTTTCTCCAAGACCTAGGAGTAAGTTGCTTCCTCCATGTTACCCTAATGAGTATCCACAAAAACGGTAACACATCTGGAGCAATTTTATACAGCCTGCAAGGCACCATGCTGACCTTACACACCTACCTACCATTTCTAACTCTTTCAGAGTTGGGGCTTCCTGGATAATGTTTCAGTAACATAAGTGAATAATTATATAAAACTCTAAAAAGGGCTATTCTGCATAATGATAGTTTTTACTCACTTTATTTATAGTCTAATTATACTTTTCAGCTGATAGTGGTAGAAGATCCTTGACTCAAGTAAAGCGCCAATACCAGCTTCTAATAATAATATTCATTTTTAAAACGAGTAAACAAAGCTGAGATTTTGCAAAACGTCTTGCGGGTCATGGAGTTTCCGAGGGGCACGTGAAGACAACCTGAGTCCAGCGGTGCCAGCGCGCGCCCACAGCAGCCACCCCGCCACGGAGAAGTGGAAGCCAACGCCCAACTGTCGGCTCCTCCGCTATTCCCTCCCTCCTCGGATAGAGAGCAAACTCTCAGCAGGGCTGCTACCGTCGCGACAGCTTAACCACAGTATTTCACGAAGACTACTTTTCATGCGGAACTTCATTCAGAGGTGGAAAACCTAGCTTTAGTCGGGGAACAGGTGTGGGATAGCCGTCAGTACTGAGGCAGTAAAATATATATTTCCGTCGACGCTCAAGACAAGTTTGCTTATTCAAACGCTGTTCGTCATTTTCTGGCGATAAGAATCTACCGAGCACGATCTCAGTGTAATAAGTTAGTTACTTAGTTGTAGAATGGCTGATACAAACACGTCCAGCTCTGCTGCCAACTGCGTGGAGAAGCTAAAAAGTTACGTGAAGACTCAGAAAGGGCTCATCCTCGCTGCAGAAATAGTAAGTTCACCGACTTGGGCAGGAAAACGTCTAACTTGGAAAACATTTACAGTGTCGCTCTGCTACGAGTGGCTGCAGCTGCTTACGCAACTGTGTTGACCGTAGTGCGCACGTAGTCTGTAACTAACCAGTGTTTGGGTTAAAGTGGCTTACATGTATTGTTAATGATTTTTTTAATTCACTTTTATTTGATTTGTCTTTTAGAAATCGTCTCATTTTGGGGGGGCAGTCCGTTCAGCGTTGAATGGCAAGCATGCGGTCTGGGTATAGAGAGACCATGACCAGAGGTTAATGGTTTCCACCTGTTACTTGTGGCTTCCTCACTTTCTCATTTGACACCAAAAAGCCAAATGCTTAGTGTCTGTAGCAGGTCAAAGGTCATATGGGTCAGCCCAGTGACAGGTAGTCTGCTCGTTACCCCGGGCTGCATACTACTTGTAGGCAGAGAATGAGTAGCCCACATGTGGTGGAGAACAAATGCAACTTACGTTGCTTTTCTATGGGGATTTCTTTAAAAAAAAAAAAAAAACATTATGTAACTGCACATCTGGCTATAGCTAACAGGAATATAGTTATCTACAGAGGTTGGGAATAGAGGAATCAGAGCAACAACTCAGCCTTAATATTGAGTAAGTTGTTGAATTGTAAAACCATTTCCTTTCTGGGAAGCACTTTTCATTTATACTGTCCTGGGCTGCCGTTTGCACATGATCGCCTGTGTTTGCATTTCACAGCGGTGAAAGTGGCATATGAGTCACTTTGGCCTCAAACTGTCTACACAAGTTCTTCATCTTCAGTGGTGTAAAGCACTGCGTTTGTGGATAAAATGTTGAGGTACTTGTGACTCATGTACTTCTACTCCACTACGTTTTAAAGGAAAATGTAATATTACATTTACAGACTAAGAATTTACATACAAAATATGTGTTACGCTTCTAAAATATGATGCATTGTTGTAAATTACACCAACAAACAGTTCATAAAATAGCTATTTTATGCTACATCTGGAACTCGAGCTCGTGCTAGTATGAGAAATACAAAATACAAACCACTCTGCTGCTCCCACACTTTCCTATCCTATTACGCTCAGCTCAGCCCTTCACCCGGTGTTCTCTGTCTCAGCTAATGCAGAAACTGGGAGCTTGCTAGCATGTGAGTGTGCCATCTTTCAGCAGCTACCAGCTTGGCGCCTCATGGAGACGGCACAATGTGTCATACTCTGAAAACCACGTCCACCGGGGGAACAATTCCTCACCCTCCAATTACTTTGTACTGGGGGAAGGCATCTGACAAAAAAATGAAAAATGCCTCAAAGTAACTGTGTGGTAGAATGCACTTACAACAAGGCAAAGAACCCAGAGTTAAAGTTTTAAAAGCTGCCGAACAAACTCAACACTTTAAGAAAACAGAAGTGGATAAGATGTGAGGCAATACCAGAAACGACGAAGAAACAGGGATCCTGACACTGTGTGCGGAAGGCATCTTGGTGTGTTTCCTGGAGCCTTAGCTAACGACATTAGCTTAGCACAGTTATCTGTTAGAATGTTAGCTGTGTGTTAGCAAGCTACTCCTGACACTGTGTGCGGAAGGCATCTTGGTTTGTTTCCTGGAGCCTTAGCTAACGACATTAGCTTAGCACAGTTATCTGTTAGAATGTTAGCTGTGTGTTAGCAAGCTACTCCTGCTCTACCTGCAAACGCCTCACGTTTATCCTCTTAAAAGTCCTGCTAACGCCTCACGTTTATCCTCTTAAAAGTTCTTTTTTTGTTTGTTTGTTTGGCACCTATCAAACCTATACCTTTGCATCCTACCACACAGCAGCTTTTAGACATTTTTTAGATTTTTGTAAAAAGACTAAAATGTCAAAGAAGTGCCTTCACTCTGATTTACTGTCCTGTGCTCACACCTCTGACATCGGCCTCATGTGATTGGTTGAAAGGGTGAGGCTCACTCACATTCTTTGGCAGGGAATAGCTGTGCACTGCTACAAGGCTGTTCAGTGAGTCAGGGTCAGAGCGCACACCTCTCCATATTAATATATGTCTTGGAGACCTTGACCGACTCTAACATGAAAGTACCACATACAATAATGAGCCAGTAATATAATAAGACATTCTGCATTGTTTACTTTTCATACTTGAAACACATTTTCTTGTGAATACCTCTTTACTTAAATCTGATTTTGGCTGCAAGGCTTTTACTTGCTTTTTATAGTGTGCATATGGCTGCATAAATAAATATTGTTAACACTTCTTCCACCACCATGCATGTTTTTTGTCAGCTTCTCAACCAAGCTCCTGCAGTGCAGTATCACATATCTCACTGTAGCTTACAGAAAGTGTACCTGTACTACTGTGTTATTACTCCCCCTGTTTATAAAAGCAAGGCACCTTGTGTCACTGACAATAAGCTCATTATAAAGCAGGCTGTCAAATGGAGGTGGTCAGTGGGCCACCCACAGTTTTTTCTTTTATTATTTTTTCAGTGGTAATGGAAATTCCATGCTGTGTGTGAAGTTTGGGAACAAAGAATGTGTATTGCTTAGCACACATCTCTGGTGTGCAAGCCTCACGCTTCAGCGGATACACTTAGTAGTTTGTTGCTTCCTTTCCCACTCATGATTTGAGTGGGGATTAAGATTTTTTCTTAAAGGAGAAAGGAAAAGGTGGTTTCCAGTCATAAGACAATGCGGCCACACCAGATCCATAATATTAATAGCAAGGTGAGGCATTAGCTCAGTGCGTGACTCATCCTGCCTTATTGGCTGAATGGTGCTACAGGACAACACATGGGTTGTATTGCAGTATTGATTAACTGTAAAGGAAGTCATCTGTGAATGTGAATGTCAGAAATAGTTTACAGGGCAGGAATAGGGCTGTGGGAGCAAAACAGGAGACCAACAACATTATTTCTCATTATGTACAGTCTAATTTATATATGGTGGCAGGATTAACAAGGTTCAGATTTGTCAGCTGGTAAACTAAAATGTCATTTTCATGCAGACTTGACTCTGTACATTGTCAGCATGTTTTACAGTAGGCTTTCCATAAGCTGCCAAGAGTCATTTTGTAGTTATTATTATTTCCTTTGCTGTGTCTGTCAAAGGTATGGCCATAACAAAACATGTCTGAAGCTGCAGAACAGCATATAGGTGGCATTCACACACCCATGTATTGCACACTTCAGTTTGTCCTGTAGCACCATTCAGCCAATAAGGCAGGATGAGTCACGCACTGAGCTAATGCCTCACCTTGCTATTAATATTATGGATCTGGTGTGGCCGCATTGTCTTATGACTGGAAACCACCTTTTCCTTTCTCCTTTAAGAAAAAATCTTAATCAGAAGATGTGGTAGCAGAGTATGGTGGAGGAAGCAAGCTGTGTAAAAGAGAGACTATGACTAGATGATGAGCAAGAAAGGTGATGAAACTTCATTTTCCTCTGAATGTGCACAGTTTACAGTTCAGTAAGCCACAGCATAATGCTGAACATGCCCCAAGATGTAAATGACTTCCTTAGCAACTGTTGCTGTTTGGTATGTGTCTGTACCATGGACTAGCTCTTGGCGCTCATGTTGCTGCTTACTATAATTAGACAAACGTTCACTACAGTTTCCCTCCAGTCAGTTTAAAAGTGTGAACAGATTCTAACTGGGGACTTTGAAAGCTGCCCCGTGCGAACAGATCTGCCGCTGTGTGGAAAACATAAAGGTGTCAACATCTCAGAGCCTTTCTTGTTCAGAGAGACTCTTGTGTAATGGGTGTTTCTCTGTGTGAGGGCCTGCTCAGTAGTCGCTGCTCTGGCTCTGAATAGAGCCCCTTTTGTGCTGGACCTTGGCTTCGGCCGCCCCGCTACTCTACAGAGGCAGCCTGTGCCTGTCTCAAGAACACATGAACTACTGATGCATCTGGCTGCGCGTTTGTGTAACAGTTGTGGGTGAGGGGAGGGGAGGCAGCAGTGACAGATGTAGGGCTGGCGTCGAGTCTGTTACATCATTTGTGTCTCTTATAGACTGCAGCGATTTGACACTGGTCACCGAGATGTCAGTGTCTGAGAATAAAACGTTGCAATGTGCAAGATGTGCTTTTCCTTTTTTTAGATGCATGTCAAATCAGAGTCCAATTGATTCAGTAAGTGATTATTATGTCTGTGAAATTTTGTATATACAGTATATATATATTTGCCATATTTTGATATGTATATGACCAAAGAGTTTGTAATTTCATTATAACCTTAATTAGAACTTATATAAAAGACCATATGTAGTGAAATACAGGGTCGCACACTCCTGAATCTGTGCTAAAAAGTCAAGTGTACAAGAAATTATAATAAGACTGAAAATAAGGATTCGGTTGGAATAAATATAGACGATGAAATTTCAAAGATAGAAAAATTAAAATGCTGACGTGTAGGTGGGCCACAAGTCTCAGTATTAGTGTGGTTGTGGAGTCTGCCACAGTTTTAAAGCAAACTATACAATAAAATATAGGCTGATAATGGATTTTTGAGGAAAATATGTCATTATATGTATATCCATATATGTGGTTCCTCTTAATGGATACTGGCAGATAGTCATTTCTTTATATTAGCACATAAACAGTCGTGATACAAATTAGTTTTTGTCCTTTTTTTTTTTGAAGATACATATTGAGCAGGGCATGTTAGTTAAAAACATCAGCTTCTCTGATGGATAAATTATGTTACGGCTACACTATTTGTGAATGACCTCAAAACCTAATTTAATAGGTTATTTTCACATTGCGGTGTTTTGCTACTTACAGTATGTACAGTAGACCGACACTGACATATTTGCCATAAGCTAATATTGACAGATTTTATTGGTCTAAGTGTATAATAAAGTTTTGTGCACTGTTTTAGTGCACCTTTTCACTATTCTTTTGTCAGTTTTGCACATTTTGTGAAATGCAAAAGAATTAATGTGTATTTGTCTTGTAGAAATAATGAAAAGGACAATACAACTAATGCTACTCAGCGTCTTTAAGCTAACTTAAAAAGGCTTCTGAAAGTCTCCACTCCTCTCAGAGCTGTCAGATGTCCATGTTGTGTGAAAGCATCCACCCACACATCACCAACAATGGAGGTATTGAATAAAAGGGTGATACTGTTTCTGGGCCGTGGGCAGCCTAAATTTATGGCTTCTTCATATTGGCAGCATTTCAGGGGAATGGACTGAGAAGAATGCACGTGCACTTTTTCCCTCATATGGAAGAATATGATCTTGATGGAACAAGCGGTGGCTGTAAATCTAAGATGAAAGCAGCATGTAATAGGATGACAGACCTGCAGAGCACATTATAATCCATCTGCTTGCCTCACTTTAATAGTATTTTTGTGTAGAATGTTTTTGTCATGTTATTGAATAGAGGTGTAAATGAAACTTGTCATTCCTGGAATGTTTTACTGTCTTTCTGTTTCTGAGCAGAGATGACCAGTGGTAACGGCAAAGTCTAATGGAGGGGAGGGATTTAAGCAGCATCTCTTATTGTTCTGTTATAATCCTAAAATATTCTGGGCTATCTTCACAATCATTATCCTCCCTCTGTTGATTTTTCCCCAACTCCCCCTTTCCCTCTTATTATAGCTCATCAGTTTCATCATCATCATCTGCTATGCTGCGTCTCGGTACGGAGGCTACTCTGCTGTGGCCATCTGCGAGATGATCTTCGCTATAGTCTTCTTCGTCATCTTCATGATGGAGCTGGATAAGCAGATCCAAGTGATCAACTGGGTCTGGAGTGTAAGTGCTCTGCACGTCCAGTGTTTCCCATACATTGATTCATCTGTGGTGGGCTGCCACACATTGATTTAAGATAGGAACTCATCTCAGCGTAGTGCTGTGTGTAGCACAGGTATTCGCTCAGCCCGTTTGTTCTCCGCTCTGTTTCTGTCTCCCACACACAGACACATGACAACCATGATCTAACTCTTCTAATATGTTATTAGGCTAGCTAAGCTAATGTTAGAATACAGCTATTGCTGAGATTAGCATGCTGGATGTGTACGAACTGCTCTGCAAGTGGTTAAAGTTAATGCTAGTTGATAAACTCATATGCTGAATGTTTGCCTCCTCAGTCCAGGGAAATACAAAAAAAAACACACGGGAAAGCTGATCAGGACAAGTCAGATGAACAGCACTATAGCATTACTATATTTAATTTAAAAAAAAATTATGAACACATGACCCTGATCTACCGCTACAATTAGAATGTAATTCTGTGGGAAACTGATGTCTTAACACTAGAAAGCGCACACACACTCACACACTTCTGTCTTTATAAGGACGCTCATCCCCTAGCCCCTTACCCTAACACCTTACCCTAGGCCTAACCCAAACCCTAAAACTAAGTATTAACCCACAAAAGGGTGTTTCACAAAGTGAGGACCAGCCAAAATGTCCTCGCTCTCTAGCAAAAAATACTTATGTGGTTGTCACTATGTGGCAAGTACAAGAACACATGCACATGCATAGTTGCACAATGCTTCATTTTCTGCTTCCCTCTTTTGTGCAGGACCTTTTCCGTGCTGGCATTGGTGCTGCTCTTTACATCATCACTTCTCTGATCTGTGTCATCGGAGGAGCCGGGGATGGCGCTCGAATCGCAGGAGGGGTCAGTTAAGCTGCTGTGACTCGGCCTGAGTGCGCAACTGAATACTGAAACTGAATATTTAAACATGCAAGTTTGCTGTTTGTTTTGACAACCATTTACCCATATCTTTGCATCAGAGGTGTTATAGATGCGGAAAGTGAAACCCCAGTGTGGGATGGCGGTATTATCATTGTCTCACTTATGCCATCTCATACATCCTTCCTTTTTAGGTCTAGTGCAGAGCACAATTTTTATGTGCCAGACAGTTCTCTTAAATTTGAGACAGAAGTCTGTCACAGTGGGTCTTCTAGTTCTAGGCTTATCTTCATCTCGTCGTGAGCTGGCTCAAATTTTCTAACATGTCTGATTTTATCGTAGCCAAAAACAGGAAGCGCTTGTGGTTGCAGCACCTTGGAGACGAGTGACACAGGGGAAAAAGCAGGGAAGAGCGCATGGTAAACTGAAAGCGCAGTCACAGAACCAAATTAAAGTAGCATGGCACACAGCCACTAATTATAGCATTAATGTCCTACAAGTCATTAAACGACTTCACAGGAAATGAAAACGAGATGGAGCGACCTGCACATCGAGACTTACAAAATATACACAAGCCAACTGCAGCCGGTGGACAAAGAGTTCTGAGAGCAGCAGGTTAAAGTGAAGCTGGTGCTGAGACGGGTGACATCTCTGGAATACTGAAGAAGGGTGTTTGCAGGTCTTTAAACACTGATTTCAGAAAAGGCCTCAAGTTATAAAATAATTTCAATTTGCATGGAAAAATTGGTGTCATAAAGATCTTAAAATGATTCATGTTAATTGGTGTGTGCCATTGTGGGTATCAAGCACACAGCGAACGCCAGAGCTCCCACGAGACAGCGAGCCGCCACGGAAAGGGATTGATTCAATCAGAAATAAGGGCATCAGAACATCAAGCGATTTTAGGATGTTTTGACAGTGTTTCCATGCGATGGAACATTAACGTTTCATGTCACTGCTTGTAGCGATAGCTCATGTTATGTCATCAGATTTTCCCCACAGATGGTTTCCGAACCTCTCTGTTGAGTATGAAAGTCATTTCTCCTGTGGGAATCAGTGGAATCATCTTGTAATCAATACACCTTAGCTGAGATCAGCTGTGTAGCTTTGTACCCTGTCATACAACATGACAGCAGTCTGGGGCTAAACATGTCTTGTGGTGTGAGCAGAACAGACTACAGATTCCTGTAGATCAGTAGTCTGTATTTAGCTTTTGTTGGGTAACGTATAAGAGGTGTGTTATGACTGCAGTATAGTATTTTCACATATTTCCACCAAGTGTAGTTTTAACTGACCAGTGCATGTGATTATTATTATTTTTGTGATTCTGATTCTCTGTTGCTGTTTCCTAGGTATTTGGTTTGATCGCTGGTATCTTGTTTGCCTATGACACCTACACCATCTTCATGCAAATCAAGAGCACTAGGCAGCACACGGGAGCTCCTACCGGTGAGAGCAACGGATACACGCCTTGTTTTCATAGAGCTCCCAAAACATGCTCTATATGACAATACTCTGTCTGATGTAATACACAGAGTGAGTGTTTTTCTCCAATCTCTTACTTTTTTTTATACAGATGACACCGTTTAAACACTCCAAGACATGTATACCTCTGTCAAGACTGGAGCAGAACGTGAGGACAGCTGTGCAGAGGTTAACAGAAGAGTGGAGCGCAGAGGATTATAGACAGTGAAATGAACAGGTCACATTTTATTCAAGACCACTGTATGTGTGAACAGTTGAGAGATTTGTTTTAGGGACACATTTGAGAGGAGGGAGACATAGCCAGAGTGAGTGGTACTGTACATCTGTGTCTGCATGTCAGACAGTACTGTCTACTGCATGAGGAATTACTTTCACAAACCTTGCCACCAACCTCAATGTACCACTGATTAAAAAGGGAAATAACAGGCAATGTACCCAACCGGTCAAAAATTTGAGAGCACCTCCACTTTTCCAGTTGTTATTGGTGTAATTCACTGGTGGAATTCTTTGTATGAATTAAATCAAATGTTGCTGAGACAGACAGCACTGCTGCAGACGTTCCCACAGGTTCGTTGCACTTGTAGGTAGCTTTGCTTTTACTCTTCATCAGGAAAGCCTGGACACTGTGCTGCCCCTCCAGCATTTGAATCCGACTGGTTAATTTCTTGTACACAGCCTTTTTTCCTGAAATCTTGAAAAGGTCTGACTGCCTTTGTTAGTCACCTTTTACCAAATGATGCTTCGCAGGGAGTAGTAACAGTCTTTTCCAGCACTGCCTTTGTACAGATAGAATTTGTTATCATAAGTAATCATCAAAAGTTGGGACACCTGTAGGAACTTTTTGCATCAGTTGTCAAGACTTCATTTCCTTTCCTTGTGGCAGAGAATACATAAGTTAACTAGGGCTGCCCCCTAAAAGTCGACTACTCGAATCATTAGTCGAGTTGACTGAGACTCTTATAGGCGAACCTTTGTTTTTATTTTTTGTTAGCCAGTGTGCATTACAATAGAAAGCAGCCCCAGCCCCCGTTAGTTTGTCATCTCCTCATTTTGGTGTGCCAAGCAGCAGTTTGCTCAGTACTTACCCCCGTGGTCTGGGGGGGATACCTACTTCAACGGTGACACTGTGCGATGCATGGATGTATAAGGTCCAACAGCACTATTTAGCAAACTGCTGCTGCTATAGGTGCATCGGGTTTGTAGTGTAGCGCACAACCATTTATCTTATGTTTCTGCAACATGCATCCGTCTGAACGGGACCAGGAAGCTAGCAAAAATGCACTGGGAAGACATTTCAATGAGGAATTATAAGACAAGGGAATCATAAGTATGTATTCTTTAGCAGTGCAAGTTGGCACACATCAAACGTAACAACATGCCCTATGGTTAACTGAAAAGAAAAACAGCTTGTTGGTACACTGTGATATAACCATGTCTCAGAAGAAAGAACTGCCTATAAGAGCTTTGTTTCAACAGGAATACACGTGTGCTGCCTGTCTCGTTATTCCAACAAATCCATATGGCAGCCTGACATTATATGTCATAAATTTAAAAAGGTTGCGGTTTAAATCTTGCATTATATGCAAACTGTCCTTTATCGATTTATAAATACTCAGAAATATGTTCCTGTCACTCTTTTGCAGCCGACTTAGTCGGGTGTAGCCCTAAAGTCAACCTAGTACATAGTCACCAAAAAAGGCCTGTTCTGTATGAAATGTACATAATTTTTTAGTCTTTAGAGACTTTTTTTTTTTTTTTTTACCAAAGCAGTTTAGCTTTGTACCATGAAGGTTACTGAATGGACTTGAACTGCTGGAAAAATGGGGGTGACCCCAGACTTTTGACTGGTAGCGTAAAACTTTGGTTGATGTCATCAAGCAGCTTGTGTAATACATGCCTGTTGTTAATGGACTGCTGTAGTAAATAGTAACTGTTACATTTGGACATAAGAAGTAACTGACTCATGAATGGATGTGTTATAAATTGTTTAACATCATAATTAAGGTTTTGATGAGTTAGAATTTGGCATCTTCAGCGATGTTTCTCCATGGGTTTAACATTTCCTTCTCTATTATTTAAACAATGTTCTGTAGAACACTCCCTGTGTGTTAAAGTGCCTTAAAGTCTTGTTCAACTTAACCAGTTTCTTTACTGTATTCACATTTCATTCCTGTATTCTAAACATTTGCAGTGGCCTACTGTCGTTGCCTACTGATAAGCAATTTTTAGGCTAGTTTTATAACTAATTGGTTTAGCCTGCATCATTAGGAGCCATAGACATCTATTAACAGTATCATCCAACCAGTTCTACCTATCTACTTCGATTCTTGCTCAGGTTTTTTTTCCCTTACATTTATAACACATTTTTAAGGTGCAGCAATTTTTATACAGTTTTAGTCCAGTTTATTTGGGTCATGTTTTTTATGTACAAGTTCTCCTATAGTGAAGCAGATAAAAAGAAATCAAATATATTTGGAATTTTATGATACCACAATTTTATTATTTCCTCTAATTGTCTCCTCAGCCCTTTGGTGGTTAGTAAAACTGCCTTTGTTCTAACATGGTGTAAAAAGTTCTGCTGTTTGTAATTCAGAAAATATTTCAAAGCAACCACGCTTTGGGAAATAAAAGCCATTGTTACACCAAAGAAACCATGTTTTGTACTGTAGTTTACATTGTACACTGGTGCTACTACATACTGTACTACAGATGCTTAAATACAGCTTTCTTCAACAAGTACTTGAGCATTTTTTTATTAGCTATAGTTGGGGCCCTAACTTGCATTCTGTCTGATGGCCGCTAGATGGCAGCACACTGCTACTCATCCAAATTATCGTTGAATTGAAAAGAGCTCCTGTCCCATTACTAGATGGAGCAACTGCCATTCTCTCATCAGGCTCTCGGTGTTCAGATACGATCCGTGCTTGTACATAATCCCTGCAATGATTTTTGTTGATCAGGTGCAGCCTGCATCTGTGATCTCTAATCTCATATGAACCGCTTCTGTAGTGGATAAACATGCTGCCCCCCTCTTTGCAATCTGAGATTTGCAGAGGCCTAACCATTGTATTACCCATGCCATTTTAAAGGCCTGCGGCGGAATTATTATCCGTTTGTTTGGAGTCATAGTGTTACAGACTAACATAGTAATACTGGATGACCACTTCTATCTTTCTCGGTAAAGGGGAAAGTGTGTGTATTTATTCAAGGATTTGTGCTACAATCTCCGACTCCTCCCATAACAATCTGAAACCGACTTTGCAGATGGACAAATAAACATTAGACAAATTAACACGCGTAGGCGTGATTTGTAAAACGGAATGAGTATGTACAGCGAGCAGCTTCCTTGAGGAGGAGGTGTAATTTAGACCAAACTTTGGGACAGTTTGCTGGCTGTAGTAACATCTATGAGATAAAGTTAGAGCTTCTTCAAGTTAACTAGTGCTGTCAGGATGTCAAGCCACCACACCTTCAAGATAAAAGCAGGAACGGTGTGAGTTTAAATTAAGAGAGTTTGTCAATAAATATATTTGCCAGTGAGCTATTTTCTGTATTGAATAAACGTGTGGCCTATTTCTTGTGGCCTTTATTTAGCCTCTGCTCGGGGATGTTTAACACAGGTGGTGCTGTTTCTTTTAATTTGAAAACGTAGCCGGAAGTCGCGTTTTTCCAGCTCGCTAACTTATCAGTGAAGTTGCCAAAGTAGTTGGGTAGTTACGGCGGATTGAGGAGTCCGGAGCACTTTGAGAGCAACACTATGTAGTTTAAGACTCTCTGTGTAATTTTAAACATTCACACATTGTCGTATCTCTTCTGTTTGTTCACCTGGGAACCGCTTTGTGTTTATAACTGCTATGTTCCTGCGCGGGTCTAAAAAGCGACGGTCGAATCGCTCGGTAAGTGACGGTTTTTACATTTACTTCTTAATAACTTTAACAACATATTAATAAACACCTTGGTTAACAAACACACTCCGGCATTATATTAAGGGGTTGAAACCGTTCGCTGCTCTGCTGTATTAGTAGACCTGAAACGAAGCTGTAATGTAAAGACCAACAGAGAAAACAGCCCGAGCGGAACTTTGTCCCACCTCCACCTGGCTTTTGTGTCGGTGAATTGTTTTTTGTAAAAACGAATAATTAATAAGTCCACGTTTTTTCTTACTCTTACACTAAATTGTTATGCCATTTTATTGTACCATATCCCCAAAGTACATTCTTTGTTTCTTGAGTGATTTCGGTGCCCCAGGTGTAGTCAGGAGGGGGTCAGACTACGTCACAGATTTGTACCTGAGCAGGTTGGGATGTGGTAGCTCGTATCTGAACATGTCTATTACCTTTGTCAGGTTTTCATTGTGACAACAAATGATGCGCTGTTAAATTAGGTTCTAGCTGGAATTTTGCCCTAACACAGCCAATATTTCCAGGTTACTGACCAAACCAAGCTTGTTTTGCGACCAGACTAACAGCTGTGTGGCCATGAAACATCTGGCTCTGCGGCACACCTGGAATATATCCAGACAGTGACTGTGAATCCAGATTTAGTAAATACCACACTAATTCTTAATGCAGGAGCAAATCAGACTCTATAACTTTTTCTGAACTTGGCTTAACTTTGTTTAGACTGTATATAAATAAATATAGTTTATGGTTTGTATATACTGTACAGTCGTCAGTATACAGTAACAAACTTTGCAGTTTATATGTGAAACATTTGTATGCAAGTGCTTTAACAGTATTTAACACTCGGGCCATCTGATCTCACCTTACACAGACAATTACTACATTCAAGTATTAATGAAATCATGAATATTTTATGCAACACACTCAATTACATCAGCACTAAAAGCTAATTTAGAGTCATATTACAATGCAGGTGTTTTCAAGAGCAAGTCTTTAACACATTTATAAAATGCATGTATGTTCTCTTAACATTAATTGTAGATTAGGGGGAGGCAGAGCAGGAAATATATTGATTTAGAGCCTGTGTTATGATATAAGATTATATATCACCTGAGATTTCACTTATATGCTTTTTCTAGCAGCTGCTTTTCAATTAAATTATATAATTTGTGTATTTAATTCTTGTGGCTGATTGAAATGAATAATGAATGTCTGTACAGTACTTCTTTGGCCATCATTACAGTAAGATTTGCAGTATTTCAGGGACTGCATTATTTATCCCTAGCTTAGGTTCAGTATTATTTGAGAGCTACAATAGTTATAACAAATGTAATTTAATCAGTGCCTATTTTCCAGTGTTAACAGGCTAAAATAAGTCAAGTCAGGTCATAAATAAAAAATACATTTTAAGGCCTTTGTTCTACCACAAGACAGCTTAAACATTTTCATAAAAGCACTTTTATTTAGGCTGCTTTATACATTACATTACATTATAAGACAGGATTTGAGATTAGAAAGCTACATATGTTTACAGTCAGAAGGTCACACCTAGAACAATATTGGGCGCCATATGAAGCACTGATCTCCCATTCACATTGTCAGATCATCAGGTCCTATACTTGCAGAATTCTTCAAGCTGATGCTTGTTATGATGATGATGCTTAATGCACAGTGGTAGCCAACATTAGCCCAATTAGATTGAAATGTTCATCCTATGGCTGTTAAATAGATGCACAGGTGTAGAGAAAGCAAGCTGCTCAAACACTTTTGCCAATTAGCAGTAAGGTAGATACAGTCAGAAAATTAACCAGATTCAACAAGAAACACTTTAGCTTCATTTTCTAGTGTGCAGGACCACTGCAACATGACAAAACTCATGCATCCTTTATACAGCTATTTTTGTTTGTTGTGTTTTTGAGCTGTTGCAGTGTGACATTGTGCACCAAACCTGGGATGGTAGCCAGTGATCGAGGCTGTCTACTGTGTCTGGACATATAAAAAATGTGCCTGAATTCCATTTAGCTGCTTCAGTTTCAGGGTCCTTGTATTGTGCATGCTGGCTCGCTGTCATACTGTCTTGGAACAGAACCACTGTTAGTACACCTATGGCTAGAGGCATGTGAAACGATCTTCCATGCTAACTAGTGCTGCCATCAATAAAATCTCCATTTGACCAAGAAAATTCCATTTGCATCTGGTAAACCCACCCAGTTGTTAAATATTGCTGAGTTGATCTCAGGAAGCAGGAAGCAGTGATGCATAAACAGTAAGGGAAACAAGAGGTGTTGTGCTGGGGTGGGTGGGGTTTGAGACAGCTAGCCTGTAGGATGTCTATCTGATCTTGTCCAGTGAGGAGAGGTACATCTACTCCAAATGCCAAGGCAGCAAAGTGCCTGACCTGTCCTGTTAATGTTAAACCTCTCCTGCACCACAGCATTAAAGCTACTTTCCTTAATGTCTTTTCAGCCTAGACAGCCTAGTGAGGTTAAAACCAAACATACTCCTAACCACTCTTTGCCCCTCTCATCACGTCCGGTTCCCTAGCAAGGACATAAACTGCGGGTGCCTGGTTTTAACAAACTGTACAAGATGCAGCCTCCAGTCTGAAGCTAGCGTTAGCTGACTAATGAATAAATTTGGCAATACAATACAATGCTCCGGTTACTGCTAATGTTACGCAAAGCACTAACATTACATAAAACAGATCGAATTATAAATAAAATCATATTAATTC